ACATTTAGATTTAGTAACATTTTATACAGTTTACAGATGATTATTTATTTATCATATCACCCCTCCAGTCCCATCTGCAGCCAGAATTTTCCTTTTGTTGTTCATAAGTCTCAGTTATCCCCTCATTCTATTATATTAGTCAGTCTCAGTTATCCTCTCTTTCTATCTATCTTACTCACGCCCTTGTAATTACCAGTTATAACATATAATATAATATAATAAAATTACAATTTTAATTTGCAATTACCCAGGCTGTTTACAGTTCTGACAATGGAATATTGTATTTTGTAAACAGTTCTTGGCACTTTGTCACAAGATCGGTGAAACCATTCCAAACCAACTAGCACGTTCAATCATGAAAACATCATGAATGGTTTTCTGCAACGGCAAAATACGTCAACATTTTCTTCCTTTTTTCTGCCAGCCACACATTTTGACAGTGATGCTGAAAATGCAGTCATTTGTTCACCCTGAAAGGAAACAGATAAATGTGCTCTCATGACACTCTGGTCATAACTCTTTGAAGACGGATCTTCTCCGTTGAGAAGAGTAGTTGCAATTGCCATTCCATTCCATCTTCTTCCGCTTCATCCGTTGCCGGGTCGCGGGGGCAGCAGTCTAAGCAGAGACACCCAGACTTCCCTATCCACACACACTTCCTTCTTCCCCATTCCAGATATATTAATCTGCTTCAAATCTTCTGCACTCACACAGTGCAATTGCAACAGCAAAAAGGCCACAATCAGAACCACCTCTTTGTTTTTGCATTGATGGCCATTTAATAACCATATGGGATGAGATAGTAGCGCTGTCAGGGACATAACATAGTTTTTCTTTGTACTTCTTGGAAAGTTTTTGATAAAGTGAATCATAGACTTTGACCTCATTCCCCTGACACCCAATGTTTGTGGCTGTTACCCCGTGATTTACACATGGATTATTTGGACAAAGTCTTTGGCACCTCTCTGTACTTTAGGGAGTTTGTTTCAAAGGCCAGGACAGAATGCAGACCTGTTGCTTGTGGGAATAGTTTGGACAATAACCATTGTGTATGGTAAATATGTGCATCGGTAAGTCTTCTTCTAATATTGCTGATAGCAATAAATCAGGATTAGCATTTGCCGTGCATTTCCACACATTAGTCTTGTTCTTCTTAGTGATCTTCTCAGTCTTGTTGTTAGTCTTGTTCTTGTCAGTCTTGTTTTCATTATTGATTGGTGGTGGACTAGGATTGACCAGTATTGGACTGTTGCCATCACATGGTGATGTATATTTAAATATATGTGCGTATGTACAGTATGTGTGCAATTTGCACGTGTTTATGTATTTATCTGACTGACAGAGTATAATGTAAAACTTTGTTGTAATTTTATGTTGTACAGGACGGTATCCAGTATTTAGTTTTATTTTGTAGTTGGGGGTGGGAGTAAACAAGTGTTTCACTTCTTCTCACTCCCTTTCAAGCAAAGAGCATTACTTTATTGTTAAGGAAAAAAAATAATAATAAAAAATAAAAAAATAATAATAATGATAATAATAAATAAATAATGTAATCTGTGTTAATATATATTGTTTACTATAACGTTTATGAATTTAAGTTTTGTTATTGTGACATTGTGTCATGCTCATGCTTGCTTGCTTGAAATAAAAATTATTCATTCATTCATGTTGTGTTGCTGTGGGGTGGTAAAGTCTCCCTCAAATAGAGATTGGATCTCCTCAGAGGATTCTCACATTCTGATGAAAAGTCTGTGTGTTGCTCAGCTTTTGACATGCCAGGAAGATCACTTGTCATGTATGGTCTCAATTGATCACATGGTATTTTTGTTTTGAGAGGTACTGCCCTTTGCTTGTTGTCAATTTCTGTGACCCTAATAGTGATAAAATGAAGGTTAATATTATGGTTAGTATGTCAATAGAAATTATTCAGCCTTGATTGATGCTAAAGCTGAAAAGTGGTACAAGATGAGATGAGAACAACAATATACAACATCACAATCAACATCATCACAAATAGTTAATTTAATATTTTACCAACCAGGTTCCATCTTTCCACCTTTTCTGGAAATGTTTTTCATCTGTCGTTTGTAAAATGTATCTCCTACTTTGATTTCAAAGGTTTTCTTTCCCTTTGCCTTTCTCTTTTCATATTGCTTTTTCTGTTTTTCTTGAACAAGTTTGACATTGCTCATAACCTACACAACAACCCAACAATTGACAGTAAATAAATGCATTTTAGACATTGTGCACTGTAGGGGTGCATGTAAAATAAATCTACTGTTATTTATTACACACATGCTGATTATTTATCCTTTCACAGTTTTTTTGGTCTAGCAGGTCTTCTGTTCTTTCAGGGGTAGATGAATTATCCTCCATAACAGTTATCTATGCGAAGGCAATCAATTTTGTGACCATACAAGTTAATGAAACAACACATGAAATGGGTGAGGATGCATGGCAAGGATTATGCATAAGACTTGGATGAATACAGTGTGAGGTGAGTTTGGGTTTCGACCAAACATCAAATAGAATGGCATGTATTTTGTTGAAGCTTGCTTCTGAGTCCTTATTGAATAAGCAACTAACCCACCCTAAAAGTCACTCCAATCATTCTGATGCTCATTGACTAGTTTGGATAAACGTTTGGATAAACGTTGCTTCAACGTTTGGTTAGTTCTTTCATCCAAACCATTTGTTTGAGGATGATAGGCATTAGTCACTGAACATTTGATCCCAAATTATTTGCATTATTCATTCATATTTGCTACAAATTCTCTCCCCTGGTCTGAAAGCAGCTGAGTAGGAGCACCCCATCTATATGTAATGAAAACAAAAATCATTGCTAGATGTAATATTTCGAAGAATCCCTGGGTCAAGTTTCAGAGATGCTCAGTACACCACTATTATAAATGACATTTGTTCCTTAAGTTACCTGCATGTAAACATCTTTATGCATTTTGCAATACCATCTGCAGCCTTGGTCTTGATGGGTAAAGTCTGTGAAGGTACATACATACTTGTACACTTCAGCAGTTATTGGCAGTGGCCCTTGAAACCATAATGAAACATTTTAATAAGACAAAACTAAAAAAAACTACTTCCAATTTGTACTCACAATCCAATCCATTCCAACTAACTCCGATGCTTCATTCACTGTTATAGGGATGAGCTCTGGTGCTTGGGTTTTAATCTTACTATAAATCTGGCATTGATTGCATGATACAATCTATAAATATAAATATACACTGTTCAGTAAAAGAACACACATAGTTCTAAAATGATTGCCCCTGACAAGTAATGAGCTAATGGTATGAAACAAACTCACATATTCTTGTACATCCTCTTTCATGCCACTCCACCAATAATTATTTGAAATTTAATGAAGAGTGGCATTTACACCACTATGACCTAGCATGGCTTTGCTATGATGATGATGAAGGATCTCACTGATTTCTTCCATAGAAGGGACAACCTTTCTTCAGAGTCCTTCCTTTCCACCAGTGTAATACAGCTCATTATCAGAAAAATGTTTAATTACACTGAAAATAATAAAATAACTTCATTTTTATTCACTTTTAATCAATAATGTGCAAAAGCAAAGCACAATTTGTCGTATATCAGATACATGCATTAGGTTTGAAAAAAAAGTTTAGATATGTTTGGTAAAAACACATATTTGCATATGTGAAAATGAAAAATAGTTTAATAGTATGTTTATAGCAGACACCGAGTGTTAGCTGCAACCTCTAGAAATAGTTGGTGTAATAACTGAAACTAAGTCTCATTATTCTTCAGGATCAGTCTGTTTCCAAGTTCAGTGTGAGAGGCAGCCCAGGACCTCGGCCATCTCACCTATTCCAAATTACAATATCTTTTTAGACTACACTTGGAGGCGCTACAGCTGCTGGGGAATGGATCGTCCACAGAGCAGCGAGTGACAGTGGGATGGATGTGAAGACCTGAGCCGTGGCTGGAGCTACACTCGTGTCCGGAAGAAGGTTTCTGATGCTTTTTCAAGAGCCACAACCGACAACAGCTCCATTCACTGCCAAAAAACACATTATTATTTTTCTATTATAGTTCATAGTCTGGATTTTCTTAACTGTTAATTATAGACATTTATTTAACATTATTGCATTACATATTTTAGAGAAGTATATATTTTCTTGTGTGCAAAATAATTTGGATAAACAGAAAAATGGAGGAAGTGGGAAATTGTATTTGACTTTAAGGATTCTCAAAGCTTCTTTATCTAACATGGTACATCAAGTTTCTGACAGTTAATGAATGTAATACGACTGGAGACACAAAACTAATTTGGAAGAAATACTTTTGTTTTCAAAAGCAGCAGGATCAGTTTGGGCAGAATGTATGTCGAATGTGATCTCTAAGATGGACTTTTCAAATGTCTAGAACTCTAAAACAGATGCACAAAAATGAGGAAAAAGATCTGTGTGGTTCTGGTGGAACCCTCTGTGGCACTCGCGATGTTCCAAATCCTCGTGGTCGACTCACGTCTGTCCAAGAGGAAACTGTCCAATCACGGCTCTAAAGAAGTCAGTTGCCGTCTTCACAGTCTGGCTCCATGCCTGCAGATCTGATTCCATAAACAGAAATAAATACTGTGGAACCCTGAGGCATCTTTCCATGAGTAAATAACAGCTTTCGAGCCCAGTCCAACACACGGCCAGTTCAAACATGGCTTTTGAGCCAATGCTAAGTTGGACATGTACGTCAATGCTGCGGAGGGAGACGGTCCAAAATACTGTCATTTTGAGCCGGGTCAGACCCGGCCATGTGTGATTGTTAGCTTTATATCCTTTGTTTTGCAGCAAGATGTAGGCAAAGGAACATAAAGTATTTTTTTATCAAAAAGGTTTATCACAAGTATAGACCAATAAAACCAAGCTGAAGATCAACAAAAGCCGGTTTACTTAGTCCTGTTGAAATCCCTTGTTTGAAATGCTAAAAACTAAGCAATCCACTTGTCTCTGCCGCACTTAGCCTTTTGGTGTCGTATTTCCCCACTTTGTGTGAGCCGTCTTTGGGTCTCCGAGAGCTGTCCAGGCCAAGGTTGTGCTCATCCCGTCAGTCACCTCCTCCCTCAGTGTCCAGGGTGCGTCCACGCAGCTGTTGGGATAAAAGAGCACCTCACTCAGACAGCACAGGTGTTCTTGGACAGTGCGCTGACACGGGTCTCCTGGTGCTTTCTGGGCCCGGATCACAAGCCGCGGGTGTTTGGAGCGTGAGCAGCGTCCCTGGTCCTAAGAGACAGTTTTTTATCATAGAGCAGTCACACTCCTGAACTCTCACCCTGTTACAGCACATTAGATAGACTTTAATGTTATGTAATATAATTAATGTATAAACTAGCAATAGCTATATTCATCTGCTTCAAATCTCCTGCACTCACACAGACAAGGAGCCACAGACAACCGTCCTTTCTCCAACCGTCTCCAACTATTTCATACTTCACTCAATCTCATTGATACTAAGAATGCAATTAAACTTCTATCATTTATTGATACATGTCACTAGCTGCGTTTCCATTGAGTATCAAATTTCGAAATTTGAATTTGCGCATCATAAAATGTCTAATGGAAACGCGCAAATTTCGAATAAACCACAGTTTTTCGATAAAAAGTTAATGCGCTTAAAATCGGTGGTTTTTTGGACGTATCGAAATTAAGTTTTTCGCAAAACGGCAATGGAAACACTTATTTCGATATAGCGGAGGAAGCCGAGCTGCTTTATTCAGTGAGTTTTGGCTGCGCTTCGTGTGGAGACTTGGGAGATACGTGGGAGAGGCATGGGGGAGAGACGGGGGAGAGACGGGGGAGAGGCATGGGGGAGAGACGGGGGAGAGACGGGGGTGAGGCATCGGGGAGAGACGGGGGAGACAGGCAAGACCCGTGTCTATGGTTCTGTGCGCGCGTCTATGGTCCGCGCTCGGTACATGACCACGCGCGTTCGCGGAGCTGTCAAAGCAGCCACAGTTTCTCCCGGGGTCAGAGAGGATGAGAGCCGCAGCAGAAGTCAAGACATTAATATATATCACGTAAATCAAAGTGTTGTTTACTTCTGTTGCCATGTTGACGTACTAGAAACTAGTGAATAAACGCGCGACCATAGTGTATACTTATTCGAATATGTCTTAATGGAAACGGCCGCTTTTGCGAATTACAGGTTTTTCGAATTTTGAAATGTATCGAAAAAGTTTTTGCGCATTATTCAATGGAAACGCAGCTACTTACATCTACAGATAACAGCAAATATCTAAATGTCCCGCTACCCCCCTGACTCAGAAATGGAGAAAGGGGGAGAAAATGGATGGATCAGAAAATCAAGAACAATGTCCTTCTGGATCCTGCTTTATTGTTGCTGTGATATCATCTTCCAACTGGAGTAAATATCTTCTGCCATTAACTTGTACACTACATCTTTCCATTCAGCCAGTGTTTACAGTCACTGTAAAGGAAAAAAAAGAACAAACATACCATTCCATACGCCCTCGTCCTCAAGGCCGCTCATAACTGGTCCAACATTCTGTCAGTCCACACAGCAGGCTTCATCCACTCCTTGAGCTCTGCACAGGTGGAGTTCATGTAAGCTTGTTATTAAAGTGCCAGTCAAAACTAAAAGTGCTCTAAAACCTGATATTAGACCTGTATTTTCTCAGACCATAGGAATGTCTCTCAGCTAAAAACAAAGAATTCTCAACCAATTCGGAGGCAGTGCTTGTATATGTCAGTATTGTATTTGGAACCGCCAGGGTCTCAGGTGATGATCCAGGACAGTTATGGAGAATGGTCATCCTGCTCGCCCATGGACCAACGGCTCTTTTGTGTTTCTTGTTTATTTATTCTGAAATCTGTTCTTGTTGAATGGACAATCCTATGAAGTTTACTAATGAGGGCTGAACAAATACAATGAATGTGAATGATTTGAATGATTTATGATGTAACAGATCAGCGGTGACGTGAACAATGTGTGGCAAAAGTGAATCTATTGCTTAAAAAAAAAATCTGGGAAATATTTGACTTGGTAAAAAGATCAGGGATCATGTTAAACCAAAATCAAAGTGTGTTTTGTTTTTTCACTATGCCACCATATGCAAGATCAGCAAAGGAGAACCAATACGCCCCCTATAGTAGGCGACAACAAGTGGTTTTCCTTTCTGGTAGACGATTGCTGAAGCTGAAGCAGGCACTATGTCAGACAATAGTGCAATTTAGAGATGGATAGACTCCCATTATTTAGTTTGTTGTAGACGTTTTTGTCAAGCCAAAAGCTGTATCAATCTCACGCATAAGCATAAAAAGCTAGGCAAGGCAAGTTTATTTGTATAGCACAATTCATACACAAGGCAATTCAAAGTGCTGAACAAAAACAAGAAAGCATTTAAATGATAAATAATCACAGAACATTAAAAAGAAAGATACAAATATAAAATCCCTCAGTTGTATGCACAGCTAAACAGAACTGTCTTTAACCTGGTTTTAAACATTGTCAGAGAGGAGGCCTGTCTCACATCTTCAGGAAGATTGTTCCAGATTTTAGCAGCATGAATCTGAAAAGCAGCCTCCCCATGTTTAGTTCTGACTCTGGGCACTAACAGGAGTCCAGTCCCTGTGCTCCTCAGAGTCCGGGCTGGTTCATATGGGACTAACATGTCACTAATATATTTTGGTGCGAGGCCATGGAGAGAGCTGTTTTAAAGTCTATTCTCTGAGCTACATTTAGTAAGTATATATATTTGGTGAAAGTCACTTAAAAGTAATGCAGTAGTGTAATTCTGTACAGTTCAGAGACAGTAATGGATGGATAGCTTTATTAGACTTCTAGTCCAGAACAAAAAATAGACAAGACACAACACACTAGAAACAGATAACATTAAAAAAGAAAAGTTCCAAAACCTCAAAAGATTGTTTTGGGAGCAGCTCGAGTCCTGACTAGAACCAGGAAGTATGACCACATTAGTCCGGTCCTCAGGTCTCTGCACTGGCTTCCTGTGGCTCAGAGAATAGACTTTAAAACAGCTCTGCTTGTGTACAAGTCTCTCCATGGCCTCGCACCAAAATATATTAGTGACATGTTAGTCCCATATGAACCAGCCCGGACTCTGAGGAGCACAGGGACTGGACTCCTGTTAGTGCCCAGAGTCAGAACTAAACATGGGGAGGCTGCTTTTCAGATTCATGCTGCTAAAATCTGGAACAGTCTTCCTGAAGATGTGAGACAGGCCTCCTCTCTGAAATCAGGTTAAAAACATTTCTGTTTAGCTGTGCATACATACAACTGAGGGATTTTATATTATTATCTTTCTTTATTATTTATGATTCTAATGCTTTCTTATTTTTGTTCAGCACTTTGAGTTGCCTTGTGTATGAATTGTGCTATACAAATAAACCTGCCTTTCCTTGCCTTGTAATATTATCATTATTGTAGTAACACATCATTTTGAAAGAACAGTAACAAGTAATACACAATATTTTACCTCTTTGAATTAACTTGCCCAACACTGCAGATCAGTAGCTGCCTGTGTGGATGGAAGTGAGAGCCGTTCATAGCTAGTTTTGAGGGAGCGACGTTACGACATGCTTGGATGTGACTGATAACTTTCCTATGGCGCAGAGGTGGGCGGAGTCAGTGCTGTCAGAGGTGAGGCGTGGAGGAGGGTGGGATGAGTGTGCGTCTGACATGGTCCCGGGTGTCCGCTGAATCGCACTGATGTCTGATTGATGCCTCTGTGTTGTTGTTGCATGGCTGATCGCAGACATGGGGGCCAGGGCCGGAGCGCTCCACTGCTCCTCCACAACAGCCCACGTCTGAGCGCGACTCTCAGGGCTCAGAGGACACGAGCTACAGCCACCGCGCACTGGCAACAAAGTGGATCACAGTGCAAACAACAAACTGCACGGATGTACATCAGCCGAGGACAGATGTGGCAAAAGGACTGTGGTAAACAGTGACCTATGTACTGCACAGGTGGACAAATGCAAGACAAAATAGTATTAATAACCTGGCCTTGTGGAGGTCTCAAGGACCACCATAACCTTTGCTGCAATAAGTCTTGTCAGGACCTTACGCAAATCGTCTTTTGGAGGTTTTAACAGATTTCAGAACCCTTAAACAAATCAGTTGTGTGATCATTAATGAGTTGGAGGACACCTGCTTTTGTTAAATGTGAATATTATAATGCAACAATGTGTTTTTAATTATGTTAAAAGCCCTCCCCAGATATTGCAAAGTAGCCTTGACTATAAATGTTGCAGTGTTTCACATGTTGATTGTGTAGACTTGAACCTATCATATAAATCAATAAATAAAATACATAAATATACAAACAGATTATTTTGGTTCCCTTCTGAAAGACTCAGAAATGTAAATCAGTTGTTCTGGATTCTGCAGCTCAAATAGAGGTTGTGTGTATATAATTGTAAGTTTAATATAAAATGTTTCATACAGCGCTCTGCTTGCATTGAGGTTTGATCAAAAAGAAGTAATAACGTGATCTTGTAAAAAATATTATGTTAATACTGTGTCAATGCCGCACCATGGCTCCTTTGGGCCAGGGCTGTGTTCTGACTATGCCCTGATGACACGGTTTCACTGAAGTTACTTTCCTCCATAAACGTTAAGAAGTCTGTTGGTAAATAGGACACGTCTGCCCTGCTCTCCGTAAGCAGCTGCTGTATGCACAGGAGCCAGAGGGTCATCACCTCAGGTCAGAGCACCAGAGAAATTCCTTCAAAATTCCAGACGGTGAGCCAAAATGTTGTCCAGATCCTCCCAAAACTTGTTTAGTTATGGCTAGAACAAATATGACCGATCACATATGAATCTATAGAGAGCTCAGAGATAGGATTTTCCACGCTTTGAAGAAAATCCTATCTTTTACTTCACATCGAATTATCTTGGCATGACATCCATTTAAAAAAATAGTAATTCCCAAAGTGGTCCATGGTTATTTATTCATTGTCCTTTTCTGCTCAAGCCTGAAATCCTCATTTTGTGAGAAGCTTTTCAAGGACATGTTTTCTGCAACAACACATTTCCAAAACCATCAGTTTGAATGAGGCTTGAAGCTGAATGTCCCAATCAGCCATAACTGCAGCGTGTGCTCAGAGACTTCCCACTATCACAGTCTGGGGACGTACACATAGTACTGTCACATAGTACTGTCACATAGTAGTGTCACATAGTAGTGTCACATAGTACTGTCACATAGTACTGTTACATAGTACTGTCACATAGTACTGTCACATAGTACTGTCACATAGTACTGTCACATAGTACTGTCACACACACATTTTGACGGCCAATGCCTTTCACTGTGAAGGCTCAAAATACTTTAAAATCTTTATTACTTGTGTGGTTTTCCCTCTATGTTGCTACTCCTGAGCCAGAGTTGTAACAATATTAACATAAGACGTAGAGTTGAGGCACATAGAGCTGAGGAACATAGAGCTGAGGGACGCAGAGCTGAGGGTTATAGAGCTGGGAGATATAGAGCTGAGAGATATAGAGCTGAGAGATATAGAGCTGAGGGACATAGAGCTGAGAGACATAGAGCTGAGGGATGTAGAGCTGAGAGATAGAGCTGGGAGATATAGAGCTGAGAGATATAGAGCTGAGGGACATAGAGCTGAGAGACATAGAGCTGAGGGATGTAGAGCTGAGAGATAGAGCTGAGGAACATAGAGCTGAGGGTTATAGAGCTGAGGAACATAGAGCTGAGGGATATAGAGCTGAGGAACATAGAGCTGAGGGATGTAGAGCTGAGAGATAGAGCTGAGGAACATAGAGCTGAGGGTTATAGAGCTGAGGAACATAGAGCTGAGGGATATAGAGCTGAGGAACATAAAGCTGAGGGATGTAGAGCTGAGAGATAGAGCTGAGGGTTATAGAGCTGAGGAACATAGAGCTGAGGGATATAGAACTGAGGAACATAGAGCTGAGGAACATAGAGCTGAGGGATATAGAGCTGAGGGCGTAGAGCTGAGGGATGTAGAACTGAGGAACATAGAGCTCAGGGACGTAGAGCTGAGGAACATAGAGCTGAGGAACGTAGAGCTGAGGGACACAGCTGAGAAACATAGAGCTCAGGGACGTAGAGCAGAGGAACATAGAGCTGAGGGATGTAGAGCTGAGGGACACAGCTGAGGGACATAGAGCTGAGAGACATAGAGCTAAGGGACATAGAGCTGGGGGACATAGAGCTGAGGCACATAGAGCTGAGGAACATAGAGCTGAGGGACGTAGAGCTGAGAGACATAGAGCTGAGGGACATAGAGCTGAGAGACATAGAGCTGAGGGACATAGAGCTGGGGGACATAGAGCTGAGGGACATAGAGCTGAGAGACATAGAGCTGAGGGACATAGAGCTGGGGGACATAGAGCTGAGGGACGGGACATAGAGCTGAGAGACATAGAGCTGAGAGACATAGAGCTGAGGGACATAGAGCTGAGAGACATTGAGCTGAGGGGCATAGAGCTGAGAGACATAGAGCTGAGAGACATTGAGCTGAGGGACATAGAGCTGAGGGACACAGCTGAGGGACATAGAGCTGAGAGACATAGAGCTAAGGGACATAGAGCTGGGGGACATAGAGCTGAGAGACATAGAGCTGAGAGACATAGAGCTGAGGGACATAGAGCTGAGAGACATAGAGCTGAGAGACATAGAGCTGAGGGACATAGAGCTGAGAGACATAGAGCTGAGGGACATAGAGCTGAGAGACATCGAGCTGGGGAAAGGCTGACTGAGACCGGTCTATGTTAACTTTTTTGTATGTTCTAAATCTCTGTGTTTAACTTAAATAACTGTAGAAATGACAAAAAACAGTCCAACATATCTAGGTCCTGCTGAAAACTGTTCACGAGGACCTCTGCCCACTCAGGTCAGGATGGCTTCTCCTGCATCTTCCTGCGTACCTGTGGACCCCTGCGTACCTGTGGACCCCTGCGTACCTGCGGACCCCTGCGTACCTGTGGACCCCTGCGTACCTGCGGGCCTCTTGCGTGGGTTAGCCTTGGCGTGGTTTTTTTTCATGCCTCTGCCTCCTTTAATGAAGACGCACTGAGGAAGAGAGTGAAGAGTGCCCATAGGGGCTTTCAAACAGTGGCCACATGACAAACGAACAAGAAAAGCGTCTTATGTAAGTGCACTGGAGTGTGCGCTGGAGTGGGCAGGCACAGACGGAGCCGAGCCACAGAGAAGCTAATCGCCACGCTCCGTCTGCACCGCTGGGAGACACTTAACTGCTCTTAAACATTGATGCTCAGCGTTTCCTCCACATGTGCACGGGGAGAGCAGAACGCCGGGATGAGTGATGGATGGCTGCTGAATCGAAATTACGCTTCAAATAGAATAATCTTTCTTCAATCAAATGTTACTGATCCAAAAACATGGGCGCTACACTCGGTTTTAATTCATAAACACTCAACACCAAAAGGAAAGACATGAGTAAACTTTCAATAGCATTTGGTCCAACTCTGCCCTACCTCAAACCAAGCAACTATTTTCACTATTTTAGTTTATTTTCTCTCATTTCAATCCTTTTATTCTAAGCTTGTACATGTATGTTTCTCTGTCAACTCTTCTTTCTTTCAAACTCTCGCCAGAATATCCACTATACAGACAGATGGTTATAGCAAAGGAAGGTTTCTCACCCATCATCCGTACTTCTTAGCAGGTTTTCCCGACGTTTCGTCCTTAATCCAAATAACTTTTTCAAGGGAATGAAAGCTCAGACCGCGAGATGGAGATTTATAACCTGTGGGTGTGGTTAGAGACCTCCTAATCCTGAGGCTAACTCATAAACACATCTGAGGTCTGTTAAGGTGTGGCAGGGAGCAGGTCTGACCTTACCTATGGTTAGGGCGTTGTTTTTAGGACGTCGTCATGGATGCGCGGCAAAACAAATCTTAACCCGCCTCCTCTGTTAAGGGATGGTTTGTGTTTCTTCTTCTTGTATTGAGCCAGAATTTTAACCTTTGTGTCGTTCACGGTGTGGTTGGAGGCCTTGAGATGGAGATGAACAGCCGATTGTGGCCCACTAGTAGTGTGGCCCACTGAGGTGTCCGAAGTTCTTTGGATTAAGGACGAAACATCGGGAAAACCTGCTTAGAAGTACAGATGATGGGAGAGAAACCTTCCTTTGCTTTGACTTATCCCTGTACGACTGAGAGCTTACACAAACATACAGAAGGTTGACAATTTAGCAAGTATTTTGAATGCATCTGATTTATATAGTATTGCATTATTCAATCTTGTGCACTGTGGGTTCAAAGAAGTAGGAAATGTATGGAATCAAGGAAAGCCAATCAGAGTCATCGAATCCTTTGACCATCCCCAAATCACTCACTCAGTCACCAGAAATCCACCAGGCAATGTTGTGTGTCTTCACTCAGGACACATACAGTAGGACACTCCAGAGATGATCCATGACACTCAACATTCAACAACATTTATGGACATTTATCATCATTTATGGACATTTATCATCATTTATGGACATTGGGCATCCGTCCCTCACGGACCAATGGCTCTAGGTGTTTTTTTATAGTTGCATTTTTTGTGTTAAACTGTTTGATTCTCTGATCTGTGTTGGAGAATTCAACGGTCCTCCAAGATAACTTCTGTTGTGAATCAGGGCTATACTAGAACAAATTGAATTGAATTAAATCACAATATACAGTATGTTGAAAAAAAACAATACAATAGCATAAACCACACATCACCGACAATACATCTCTCGTTCACATCCTATGCCATTACTAACCATAAAATTGATACATACATTTCACACTACAGTCCGCAGTAAGATTCTCGCACGTATTTGCGTAAAAATTGTGTGGGGCGCAATACTGGAACTCATTCTGCAAGTTCGAAAACCAAGCATTCAGACAGATGGAGTGGGGGCTCATGATATGAATGCATTGTTTTGTCATTCTGATATTGACAGTGTCGATTTCTATAAACCGATATATAAATAAGAGGACTTTTGACTGGTTATGACTCTGAGCAGTTGCCCTGCTCCGGGCTGTGTGTACGTGTATGTGTGTGTGTATGTAAATGTATGTGAGTGTGGGAAAGTGGGTCAGTGCTGGAGCCTCCTCTGGGCCAGGATCTCCTATAGAAAAAGAGGATTTGGGAGGGTTAAATGAAGAGCTGTTGAAACTAAACGTGATCTGAAACCCATGGGAGCTTATGTCGCATCAAAGGATCCACGGTATTTAAACGTTGATGTATTTTAAAGCCAGTGAAGATAAACTATTTACTCCTGAACTGTCCTTATGAAAGTCCAGGCGCTGGTGCTGAAAATGCTACTGCTAATATTTGGTATTTCTGGGTTTTTGTTCTTTGCCGTTGCAGGAGGGTCTAAGGACAGTGGTGAGGATCCAGGATTCTCCACATTAAACGCCATTATGGACTTAAATCATCAACATTTATGGACATTGATCATCTGCGTCTTATGGACCAACATATCTTCGTGTTTTTTATCATTGAATTTCTTGTGTTTGATTCTCTGATCTTTTGGAGACTTTTCGCTAATGTATTCCAATGTGTTGTTTTTTTTTACTGCAAATGGCAAATAAAACTGAATCTGAATCTGATCTGTGTCGGCGAATCAACAGTTTTGTAAAGTCCTCCGAGATAACTATGGTTGTGATTTAGGGCTATACAAAAATACATTTAATTTAGTGTAAATAAAAACAAATTTAAAATTACAAAGAGAAATCATCTCTGTTAATCTAGCCATCCATCCTTCTCCACACACACTTCCTCCAGCCCATTTAAGGATGTCCCGAGGTTTTTCTTGAGAATGGCGCTGTACATGTATCTACCAAATCAATAACTTTGCCTTCTTCAGCCATCTTGGATTGAATAAACAAAAACAACTTATCACGTTACAAATATTAGCAATCTAATTTGTAATTGCAGATGTGAGATTTTGTTCCTCTATAACGTGTATCCGATGAAGATACTGTGCACTGACCCTGTACTCCTGCTCACTGACTGTAAATGCTGTCCCAGTGAAGCCAACTTGACTCTGATTGGTTAATGCCATAGGTTCATTTTCATTCACTTTAAGCTCCACCAGCACTGTTGCTTCTGAAAGCCTAAAGGTAAATGTCAGAGCCTGGCAACACATAATGCTGAATAATGATTAGATAAATACTCTAAACCTAAACGGCAGCCTTCCAAATCCCGACCTGGGGCTGGAAGCTGCACAACCACAAGGGTACAGACTATGGGGAATAATTTAACACACAAAAAAGACTAATGTATATAATTAAGACTACTGTATATATGCCTTCTATAACATCAGGTCATATAAGTCATCTCAGTTAAATGTAATTTCTCACTTCTGCGACTCTCGTGCATTCTAATCCTCCGTTAGTCATGTCCGTTCATATATTTTCAAATACTTGACTTTCTATAACATGAAATGCCGAGGTAAATATTCTCAATGTTTAATTAATGATTTGTTTGATTAAATGCAATATATTTTTTGTAGCGCTAAATCAACACAGCAGTCGTTCAAAGACAGGAAGTGAAACAACAGAAAAACACATGGGAGAAAACTCCAGGTCTGATGGGGGACCAATCCTGCAACATGATACTGTAAACAAGAGGACTCCTGGAATTCTGAAACTCATGGAACTCCCAGAGCAGGAATTCTAAAAAATAAAATAAAATAAAAAACCCAGAAACAATAGCTTCATTTTTCACTGCTTTTATCAAAATAAAGGAATTCATTTTTTTTGTTTTTCATTTAATACGTTTGAAAGCTGGTTAATATAACTGAAATACAGAAAAACTAAATACTAACTGCTGTAGGTAACAGTGTGTTGCTATGGTTACTAGTGCAAGATGCTGAGATTGCTCTGCACCAGTCCAGGACCAGATTATGGTGTAGATAACTTCATAAACATAATAACATACATATCAACAGCATGTAGAAAGATAACAAGTCAAAAACATACATAAGCAAAGTAATTACACTGCCAAAACAGAAAGTGACTGTTTTGGCAGTTCTGCACCGGGAGTTCTAGGCTTAAAATATCAAATAGATTATGAGATCCTTTATATGTCCCACAGTGGGGAAATGTCGTTGTTGCATCACCAGTTACAGAGCAGGGGCACACGTAGACAAAAATAATACTATATACTCTATGCTAAATACTAAAGACATTATAATCAAATCTCTCTGACTTTAGCATAAAAAAGAAGCAAGTATAAAAACTCTAGCTTCAGTATAATAAGGAAGAAATCTAAAATCTCTAACTTAGCATGTTGAAGAAGTAAGAATTAAGTACAAAATCTATGACTTTAGCATAAAAAGGAGCAAGTATACAGTCGCAAGCTCTCCAACTTTAGTATAATGGAGAAGTAAAAATTAAGAACAAAATCAATTACTTTAACAAAACAAAGAAGTCTAAATTCTGCCTGATGTCTCCTTTACCCGACTGCGATCATGTCTTCAATACATCTTTGAGTCGTCGTTGAACTTTTTTTTTTATCCTTCTCCGACCATACATAATGAATCCACGGCAACGGCAGGAATCCCCATGTCGCGGTATAAAACAGGTCAGGGACCGGCTGCACTCCTCAGTCTATCGCCCTTATCTTCACCGCTGAGAGAAATCCATTTTGCGGACGCACATTTTCAATTTCCCTGCAGATTGTTGAGCCCTGGATATTTCTGGTTGTTATTTTTTCCTATCAAATGAACA